AGAGACGGAGTGATCTAATATTTCGATTTTAATTCCAATATAAGTTTACGAATGAGAACGCAAAGTAGGTGTTTTATATATCATGTGGTATGCTTATACAACTCGCATCAACGTCCATGAAGTCAAAATGTGTAATATTTATTTATTATAGAGATATTTCTTTCAGGCAATTTTGGTGCAAAGAAGAAGCCCTGCTCATTCCTTACATATTTTCAAGATTAATTTAATTTAATTGCCAGGATAGGTTGTATTCATCATTTAATTAAAATATGAGGTTATTTAATAATAACAACAATTGAACTGTCAAAGGCTAACTAGTTTCAGTTCATAAGTCCCAAAATATTATATATCATTAACTTTGCATAAAATTTATAGCTTAAGTACTCTCTTGTAAAATTTAATTGGAAAAATAAAATTCAAAAGTATTTCAAAGTTTAATTCTTCGGTATGATTTATAATACATTTCAATTAGTATAATAATTTTTTTACAAGGAAATTATAAAAAAATAAAAAATTTTCAATAGAAGAAATTGTTTGTATATATATTAATATAAAGGGGTTGTTCGCCACAATAATTAACTTTAATAGTTGCCAAACTATCTTCGTAATTTATTTGAACTCCAAGTCAAATATTAATATGTAATTCATCCATAAAAAAAATACTGAGAATCCGCAATAATCACTTTCTCTCCAAAACAACTATGGCAAACAATCATAAGTTAGAGGAGGGACAAATCTTCGTAAATTGCAAATTCAGGAATCCTTCTGATACTGGTACATTGTTGGTCTGTGTCCCCATTCACAAACACAAAAAACATCCATTCCACAAGATACTGCATTTGGACAATGTCAATTCTTCCTATAGTCAATATTTACTTGATGAATAATGACCAAAATATTGACAGGTCAAACAGCTAAACGGATGTGATTGGTTGTCCGGGTAAGTTTGGTGCAGATATTCGAACATCATGTACTGAATGGTGAATCTTGTTGTAATTGATCATACTTTTATGTACCGTGGTAACACAAGACTTACATGACTGGAATCGTTTGTGTCGATGTCGCTAGAACTGATGATGTTGTAGAAATTTTCCCGTCGTATTTATTAGACTTGCAAAAAACTACTATTTTTGCTTCCATCTTTACACTGAATATAACAATTGTAGACACGACGACATAAACAGTGTAATAATTATGTAAGTTCGCTTCAGGCAAAGCTGATGCTGGTGTGATGATAATAACACTAATGTTGTCATTGATGTGTATATTATGATATCGCTATTGATGGCGATGACAAACTTCTTGTTAGAAGTGAATGTTGAAATTTACAAAAATTGATGATGAAGTTGTTTATGATTGGACCGTATCGACCATGACTTGTGCTGTGACGGTTGAGGTTTCTGCTGTATTGACCATAGTTGTAACAACCTCAATACTGATTCTAATTCACCGTCAGTTTCGTATCATCATCTATTATTACATTATCATTACCATCATCATTAACATTGTTATTAACGTTTAAATATTATTATTGGTATTGGTGTTGTTGGTATCATTATTTATTATTATTGTAGTTGTCATTGTTGCTATTATTATTGTTAGTTATTACTATTATTTATTATTATCATTATGTGTGAAATGTGTGTAAAAGACATTTTTTTCGGTAGTCATGAATGTTATGATTTTTTAAATGACAAAATTGGAAATTTTTAGAGAAATTTGAAATATGTAACATCGATTACAGCGAACAAGAATTAGATATCATCAATATAAATGATATAAATAATATTTATTTCTTATATCCCCGTTATTATTATCACTTCGTCTTCATCCTTACGCTCATACTATTTCTAATGTATTGCTTCTATTGAGATAGTTATGTTTAAATTTTAGAAAAAGTTAAAGCTTTCAAAGAAACATTTCATAAATGGTCGATCTATTTTGATGAATTATAATAATAAGAAATGTGAATATATCTATTCACTGTATTATATATACTGAATAAGTAAATAAACATTGTATTCGAAAAAAATTATTAGATAAGTAAAATGAATATATTTAAATGAAGAATGCCAATGCTCTGATCAATAATAATAAAAATGTAATGTTTTACACTTGTCTGTAAAACCTTTCTTAATTGTATATAAAAAATAGCTTAATAATAATAGAATAGGAAATTCGATATAAAAAGTCTTCATATCTAATACTAATAAACTTCATTGATCTTCGTTTGAATTGTATTAAATGTTTTAGTAATATATTAATATAGAAAGTAAATCTTACTTTATATTTACACACCTGTAGAATCTCTCTAAAAGTAAGAACTCTAGTGGGTAGAAAATTGCTACATTATAGACTTTGCTTCTAATAAGACTCCATGGGTATTGACGAGTGCTTGATGGCAGAAGTTTAAACAATAATCTATTACTTGATTTTATATCTAAAAGTAAAGTTTATTTGATAAATAGTAAAAAAGTTTTCTTTAACGAAATGAAAGTTACTATTTAAATTTTCTCGCTCCAAGCAAGTGTTAGTTTTCCATTTGATTAATCATTTGTTAATTGATAGGTAGTATTTCAAAATAAAATAATTTTCACGCCCATTACTAGCTCGAATCACTTGATCCCGGCCAATTTCATTATTTTTGAAGCTTATCACATGGATACACTGGGCTCGAACTCTCTTCAAAACGAAAAATTTTGGGGTTGAAAAGTTATTGCAATTTTAATTCGAGCAAGTAACCAACTAACTATATAATGATTGAACTGAATTGCCAATGTTACACGTTCATTCATTCCTTTGTATCGAGTATACAAAGAGGAAAAAAATTTTAATTAAAGATTTTCTTATGATAATGAGAATAATAAAAATGATGACGAATCAAATGATGAAGGTAATGACGAATCAATGATGATGTATCATTTAATGAAAGTGGTGATGCCGAATCAATTAATGAAATTGACAATCAGGAAAATGATACCGAATCGATTAATGAAAGTGGTAACGAATCAAATAATGAAAGTGATAATAAAGTAAGTTTGTGAGATACAGATTTAGATTCTAATTGCAGTTACTTTGTGAAAGTCCTTCAAAATGGGATGGAGTGAATAATTATAAGCCTTCTGTGCGTCATCATATTGCTTTGGAAATGCATCACAAGCTAGGCGACTTCATGCTACGCAAGCTAAAAAAATGGCAGAAGACAATGAATAGTAAATAAGGTGTTAATTTGTAGCATGACTTGATGGAATTTCGACATAGTGGTCAGATGACTGCAACAATCTGCAAGTAATTTCCATATCTGATTAGCACTCATCTGGTTGGCATATATAAATAAAACAAAGTTTCCGCCAATTTGACAACTTTGATTCATGGCGCGTTACACGTTGTAGTTTCCAAATTTGTAGAACTTTTAAAAAAATATTAGTGTATATATTAATATATACATATGGAAACAACATGACACGCCACATGATTTAAAAAATTTTAAAAATTTTACTATGCAAAATAGGTATGGTTTCTAAACCAAAAATGTTTTGCGTATATACATATATGAGCGGTATTAACTCAATATAGATTTTCCTCATTTTATTGAAAAACTCACATTGGTAAAAATTTGTTTTTGATAACGTGTTATTCATTTGTAACATATGATCAAGAGAATAAATAAACTTAAAGTTAGAAGTTAGAATCGTCCAAAAAAAATCCTTAGTTGACTACTAGCTGATCAAAATTTCTTTAGTCGACTAATTATTTGATTATTTAGTCGACTATTAAGTTGATTATTTTAGTTGACTATTTAAGTTGATTATTAGTTGACTATTTTAGTCGATTATTTAGTATTAGCCGATTATTTTAGTCGACTAATTAATCGACTAAATTTTTTTTTATAATAATAATTGAATCTTTCACTTTTTCAAAATACTTCCACACAAAACCATGTGTTACGATTCATTTTTTTAAAGGTCTTCTGGAATTACTGCTTAAATCATTGGAACTTGAAGTTAATGAACTATTCCTTGTATCGGAAGTGTTTATTCGTTCACATGTAAAATTATCATCAACAACACCACCACTATTGTCGTCATCATTATATTGACGGTATTGATATCTTCTGCATAGAAATTTTCCATCATGAATGATAAAACACAAAAATCGTAATTAGTCAGACAATAATATTATTAGCATAGTATAGTCAACTAATTAGTCGACTATTTTAGTCAATTCCAACCTCTGCTTAAAAAGTTTTCATTTATTATTTGTAAAAAACATAAGAAGGTACAAATATTATAGAAAAGTAGCTAATAATGGTTGGTCAAATCGATAAATCAAGATTTATGTTGTTTTACGTTGTTTTATGTTATTTGTTGCTATTATCCATGCATTTTCTGTCGTCTTGTAAATTGTCAAAACATTGCAAGGATCAAATTTGATTTAGGTAAAACATGCAATAAATGTTTGCAAGTGCATCGTTTAGTTAAATAAGATCAAACTTTTGACAAAAATGGTATATTTTATTTGCCCCAGTAGCGATTTCCCTATTTCTTTTCTTTTTCAACTTGTGGTCGCAAAATGCTCAAAGATCTGGTGGTGGCTCTCTGATGTGTAAATGATTAATATCCAGTAGTCGCCAATTATATATAGGAAATATGATTTTGTTTTTACCCAATAACTATATTCTCCTGCAAAGTAAAAACAGACATGAGAAAGTTGGCACTCTATTATTTTTCACATAAATTGAAATATGTAACTCTGTAATATTCTGCCAGAACCCATGTTCAATATCATCTGGATTTACTCTGTTGTACAAGGGAATTCCTTTCCCAGTCTGGTGACAAAGCCAGGTCGTCTTCTTGGACTTGAATTTGTCATTCTAAGTTGTATTTTCATGTTAAACAATGAAACAGCACCAAAACAATAGAAGCTATAAACTTGTTACATTCTAATTCGTTTGCTTAGTTTGTTACCGTAAACGCCGAACCCTCTTCTATTCAAAAGGAATGTTGGTTTTTAGCTCTAAACATAAACAGATAAATAAGGAAACATTCCAGGCCCGAATTTCTTTTATGGTAGAATTAGCAGAATTCTTGAAATCATTCATCTCGATACCGGTTACTAATGCTTTGAAACGTCAGGTTAAAGTACACCTTAGGTGATAACATAATAGAAAGTAAGTTAAATAAAACGTGTCATTGGATCCATGCGAGTCAAAATAAGAGACGAACGTTATGCTAAAAAACAATCACGTCATATTCAGAATATATTACAATGCAATTTCTTTACCATAGATAAAATACTGCTTGCAAGAAAATACTAAACTCGAGATGCTTCAAACCATCTTTCTCGTTTTCATGGCAGTGATATAGAATTATGACTTAGAAAAATGGTTAATATTTAATTCAAGAATAATATGAAACTAGGTAAAAAAACAGAAGGCATTAAAAAGAGCGTCAAAAGAAAAATACTAAATTGAAGCTGCTTACCCAAGATTTTTTTATCGCAGTCAACTTATTGAAATAAATTTGCAAGAAAAGAAAAAGATATGGGCTGATACATGAAACAAGTTCAGCGATTAAGAACAGAAAAAGAAATGAAACAAAAATGGTATCGCTGAACTGAAAGTGAATATTTAAATGAAGAGAAGAGGACAAGGAAAATGACACTGGACAGTAAAAAACTATTCAGGAACTACAAAGTTAAGGAATCAAAAAAAAACTATACAGGATGAAATTATTCAAAACGAAAAGGCAAAATGGAAGCCAGGCTCTAAAATTAGAAAACCAAATTCAACAAATCGAATTAAGTCACATTCTCCGTGAAGAAAGAAGTTATGGAATAGCGTGAGAAGTCACGCACGCGCGAATGAATGGATGTATTTTATACCGTTTAAATGAACCGAAAAAATAAGTATGTGTATTACATAATATACATCATATAAAACGAAAACGATTAATCATACATGTAATGTGTATTTGTGTGTAACAATAAATAATAAAATAAAGAATTTTAGAACTTTGGGAATGAAAGTACATTCATCGTCATCATTCAATCATTGTTACGATAACAACCAATAGTAATAAAAATAAACATTCCATTTGGGCTTAGTTAGTAACTCAACGAAGAACGTGCAAGGGAATAAAATTTTTTATTATAATATATTTTTAGCGTCGTTATTATATTATCTAAAATTGTAATTAATCATTTTCCTAATCTCGGTCGTTCATTACTATTATTATAAAACTCTCTCTCATTTTACGACAATATTAAGAGATTATTCATTCATTCATATAGAAAAAGAAACACTGCATTTAACGGCCTAACATCTCTTCTTTTTTTACACCTGATACACCAAATATAAACTTGCTTATTTATTTTGATCAAATGATTTTAATTCAATAATTTATTCATTTTATATAATTATATTAATGTTATATATTAATTTATTATTGTTATTTTTTCTTCCTTTTTTTTAGAAGAAAAAAATTATGTACAAAGAAAAGAATATATACATAATAATAAAATTGAAATTAATTAAAAGTGAAAAATGAGTGGCTAATGTTATTATTTGTTAGTTATTATTGTTATTATATATAATTAATAAAAGAAAGAATGTGATTTATAAATCTAAAAAATTTTATACAAAAAAATCGAAAAAATAACTATTTTCTTTCTATTTAAGTTATTTATGTATATAAATATTTAGCTTTTATGTATATATTATTTAGAAAGAATAATTACAAACTCAGAAAAAATTTTAAATTTTCTGGAAAATAAAAATAAAAATAAAAATTCCATCCTTGTCACAAAACTTTGGACTACTATGAAAAATTCTTTAATTAATTCAACACATTCCCAAAGCATATTTATTTTCCTCCACGAAATTTATTATATCGTCTTGAGTTACATATATTTTTTTGCCCAAAATTTTCAAGAAGGATTTTTCCATTTTATTTACCTCCTGTACTGTATAAATTCCTGATATTTCGGCCATCCTTTGATTTGTAATGTTGTCATGGTCATCTTCATTTTCGACATTGTCATTTTCATCTTCGTCCAAGATTTCTTCCTCATTATCAATCTCTTCCTGATGATGACGAACATTTATATCATCATCATTATTATTTAATATAACATTATCTTGATAATAATTGTGATAATGAGTGTGGTAATTTACATCGTCATCTTGATTATATTCATAAATTTCAGATGAAGATGAACTAATAATTGAAGATGGAGTTGTGGATAATATTGGCGTTGAAGATATTATGTTATTATTACAGTTCGAAGAGGATGATGATGACCTTGAAGATATGGAAGATGATGATATTGGTTTTTCATTATTTAACATAGCATCATTGTTATTTGAAGAATTGGTAGGAGGGAGAGTAGGAGGAGAGGTATATGAATTATTGTTGTTGTCATTATCGTTGCGCCGATGATTATTCCTCGAGTATTTAGAAGATACAAGTATTGCGGATAAAAATAGTTTGTGGCATGTTTCTATAATTATTATAATAAATTAGTTATAAAAATGGTTAATGCTATGCGGAATTTGATATTTGATCTTATTAATAATCAAGTTTGATTGGTCAGCTGATCGGTTTTGATGATCATTTAAAAAAAATTTTTCTTATTTACCATATTCACCGTGAGCATGTTTTGGGAGTCTTTGTTTTAGTCTTGCGACAAGAATCAACGCAGATATTGCGGTTTGTACATCAATTTGTGCTCTGGTGGTAACTTTCTGAACAAAATACACCAGTTCTGGTAATGGAATATAGTTCCAATTCACGTATTTTGGCGGTTGGTGAGTTTTTAGTATCCCGGACATGCTTTCCGCCATGAAATCTGAAGGACAAGAGGATGAAACGTAAGGTGTTAGAAAATGAAGAAGGAAGACGAGTTGTGGAAGAAGTGGAAGAAGTGGAAGTAGTGGAGGCAGAAATAGCATAGTGGAGGCAGTAGTGGTAGAGTGTAATCGAAAAATATTTACCTGTTAAAACATTTGGTAACGGTTTATATTTCCTATTACTATCAATATTGTCATTATTATTATTATTATTAATGTTATCGTCATCGACGTTGCCGCCGTTGTTATTATTAATAGTTGAAATAGTATTTTTTCTTGTTCTTTTATGAATTAGTTGTGGAAAAGAAGTTGAAGTCGTTGATGTAGATAAAGACTTTCTATGAAGACTTTTTTTAGCATTTGAAGATGAGTTGTTGTTATTATTATTATTATCGTCGTCAAAATAATAAATGCAAGTCATTTTGTATATAAATAGTGTTGGTTGTTGTTGTATGTGTTGTTAATGTTATTATCGCTTAATATTGAGGAATTAATAATAATGAAGTTTTTTTTTAAAAATATTCCAAGCAAAATTTTTTTGCAGTATATAAAAATTATTTTCAGAAAAAAAGTTAATTAAGAAAAAAATAAAAAAAATTAAACGAGACAATAGTTTTTAAATAACAAAAACAAATAATATAAAATAATTAAATAGAATCAGAATCTATTTATATATATATATACAATAAGATTATAATAATAGTATTATTGACTTACATATGATGATAGTCTATTTCAACCATATAAAAAATTTTTTTTAAACTACTTGTATATAAATAAAAAATTTTTGATCATTTTAAAAAAAAATTTTTAAATTTACTAGAACCAAATATGATTATTGTTTAATAAATCAATAAATTTACATTTTTCAAAAAATGTTTAAGAAAAGAGAAAATAAATGAATTTTAACTCTTTAAAGGCAAAAAATAAAAATTTAGAAAGACTTCTGATTATATATTACTAACTAACTTTAAATAATATTAAAATAATATTAAAATTGATTATTGTGAATAATATTATGATAATTGTGATATCGATAATACAAATCTATAATAATAGTAATAATAAATAATAGCATGATGAAGAAAGATAATGATATTAAAAAAAAAAACTAATACAAAATTGATTATCTATCGTATTTAGTTATAAATCCCTTGCATTTCGTTCTTACATTAGGTATAAACGATATAAAATTTTCGTGATAGAAAATTTCTATAAGAGGACTTCTGAAGAAGAAAATTATGATGATGATGACAAGATGATATATTGATGATGTGATAACAAAAAAAAAAAGGCATTTTTAAAAAGTTCGAAGAAAGTGAAAATGGCAAATTAAAAAGATTGACAAAGAAGAGAAGGAAATCATCATCTTTGATCATTTATAATAAAATAATACAAGAACATAACAATATTATTGCTGATTATGTAACACAACATGAGGTATATACATCAAGCCATCAAAATTTTATTCTCAAAACCCGAGTATTTTTTTTGTTAGTTTAATTGTTCAAAGATTCCAATTATTGTTAGCGCGATTCATGAAAAAAAACAAATTAACCAATCAATTGAATAATTGAATTAATTTAATTAATTAATATTAATTAAATTATCCAATTGTTACTCGTCGTGGAATCTCCCCTAAATACAATTTTCTCTCATGGTAAAGAATCAAATGATCTTCATACCCCATCAATTAATTATAATATACCCTGCAATGCTAAGCAACTGAAAAAAAGTTATATGATGACTAGCATAATAATAATGTCATCGACATATCATTATTATCATCAGTAACAATTAGCAATGTAATAATAAGGAAAAGAAAAAGGAAAGACAAAACACACAGATACATATTACGCACATACATAATAATAGAAGTACCCTTTTATCGACTTTGTCGATCAAAATATAATAGATTTCTAAATAATGCAAATGCATCCAAAAAACCCCATTATTGTTCTTTAAAGAAAAAAAAAATTTTTTTTTTTTGACATTTTTTTTTTGTATGCATGTATGTATTTAAGCATTATGTAAAAAATTACATATATCGAATGGATGGATGATGATGGATGGAGTAATTGATTGATTGTTTGGGATTGGTATTGAATGATTGGATGATAAATGATGAATGGTTTTTTTTCTCCAAAATTATATAATTAAATTTCGTTGAAAATTGCTTAACTATTAAACCATAAAAAATTAAAAAACCTTAATTTTAATATCACGATTTTTTAATTTTAATTCCATGTGTTGTGATAGATTTTTATCATCCAATAAAACTTTTACCCCACAAAAAAAAACCAGAGATTTATCACGATTGTAGATCTACTATTTACTATTATTGTTTTTACCATCTCATTTGTTAAACTTAAAAAAAAACTTTTCCGATAGTTCATCGAAATATATTTCATCAAATAAGCCACACTTTACAACATGAGTCAAAATGTGAAAGTTGTTTAGTTTAGAAGAAAAACATCAATTCAATTAAGTTACAAGACATTTTCTATAAAGAGGTAAAATGTAAAGAAAGAAATCACATAATACCAAAAAAACATAAATATCATTGATGAAGTCGCAAATAAGAATTAACATTAAACATTCTTGACCACCAACGAGGCCACCAAATTCTGACAACAAAATAAATTCGTGGCTTTTGGTATGAGATATTTTCTTGACAATAATATTAGTAACAATGAATTGAATTAGACACTCCCACTCTCTCTTTCTCTTATTATTATCTACATATTATAATTTTGCTCATTAGTATTCTACACTATAACAAAACATGAGATTCATATTTTTCAAAAAAGAACAACGATTCAAAAAAACAATGATTATGTGCCATTTTTATAAATATTCATTTTGTTAATGTGAGGATTAAAAACTATGAGAGTAACTCATACGTAGAAGGGTGATTGGAAAATTATAATAACTATTAACAAATTCCAAATTAATTTGACTATTACGGTTTACTTGATTTAAGGTGAAAAGGGGAAAAAAAAGCTATCTAGAAAGTCATCATCGATAACCATCGACAAATAAATATTGGTCATTTTGCACTAGAAAGCAGTGTTTGGAAGATGACAACTAATAATCATTGTCATAAATTAAGCAATATCATTGGCACATTTACTTTTCCGAGAATGGCTTGGAATTTAATAATATTTTATCACTACCTAAAAAAGTTTTTTTTGTTAAGGCAATTGTCACTAAAATATAATAATAATTAAAGACACAAATTCCTTGACTTAAAAATTTTCACAATTAGCAAGGCGGTTACGACAAAATATCTGCTTTGCTGGTAGTAAAGCATCCAGATATTATTTGTGTGATGACTAGACCTCCAGCCTTTTGCGTGTTTTGAATTTGATTTATTTGGATCATTTTTGACGAGAACAAAAAATTATGATTTTTTTCTTTTACTAGTGCGCGTAAGAGAAGATTTCAATTGTGAATTTTATTGGTCAATTTACTAAATGATCTGATGACCATGGTCATTTAAGTAATTTCATTAGGGTCGTAACCGAATAACCCATGACCAATGGTCATATGATATGTCATCAAGAAAATATGGTCATTCATTACCCATCATCACCTCCAGAAAGAGTATTTGCCCAAAATGTTATAGTAATAAATTAATTATCGAAATAGATAACTTTAAACTCGATGCATCGGTCATTTTTTCCCGCTATTTAATTATTTAGAGAACAAATAAGGCAAGGAATAACTTGTCTATATATTTACATGATCATAGAAAATACGATTATATAAAAATATACATATTGTAGAAGGGAATGTTTGCAAATTATAAAAAAAAGAATATTTAATATATGGAGGAAAGTTTTTATTCATATTAATATAAAAAAAAATATTATATAAAGTTCCGCCACTGCATTCAACCACGGGGAAGTTATATATAAAAACTTCAAAGTAACAAAAAGATTTTAGAATGCTTCCTTGGTAATTTTTACGATTTCAACAATTATTATTGTGTTTATTATTTAAAGAATAAAATATTCCAAGACAAGAACCAAATCAAATATAAAAGGAGTTTTGTAGGTCCAGAAATATAATTATAATATCGATGAACAAATAAATAATAATATAATGAAAAAGCGCAAGGGATTTCTCTCTCCTTATTTATTTAATATAATACAGGTATCTGGCTGGAATATCAAATATTAAAATCAAAGTCATATTACTAATTGTGTGAGTATATTTATGCGATAAGAATAACACGAGCATTAGAAGGAATCGAGAAAACATGGAAATATGTATGAAATAGATTGTTATCTTGTAGAAATTGAAAATTCGTACTGGTTGAATGCTTAAAATCTAACCAGAAAATTAAACAAGCTGGTTTTATATGTGAGCTTGATGTCGTTAGTGGAAAATGACACATGTAGGGCAAATAATATCTTTTTATTCTACACCCTAAAAGAGAAGTACCCAAGTACAACACTTGTTTGGTCCTTGTATATATAATGAATGCGCCGTCAAGGATCGATCATGTCACAAATCACAACAATACAGAGATATGTCGTGGTTTCGATAGAATTATTGTGTAATAAATAAATAGAAAAATTGATGACATTCTTTCCAAAATTAACCCTATACACACTATTGCTATGTGTAATGGTCATGGGACAGATAAAATAAATTGATTGTAAAAAAAAAAATCCCTGCATTTTTTCATCAACATCTAAAATCTTTTATAGATAAACTTTTGTTTGTTTAGCTAATTGGTTGTTAAGCCGGGAAAAGCCACAAAATAAAAAAAAACACAAGATTTTTGTTTTATTTGTTTTACATATCCTTTTTTTGCCGTGTTTTAATAATAAAGAAAAACATTCATGTGATTTTTTAATAATATGTGATTGAAAAAGATGTTTCATACAAACGCCACCCCATTGGTATTAATATTAATATGCCAATATTTTCAATTCTTGGGCTAATTACTCATAACTCAGTTCTTTGATTTAAAAGAGTGCTTTCGCTATTATTGATGGCAACGGAAACGAAACTAGTTGCTCTAACGTGATATAATCTATCGAAGCTACTATTATTACTATAAATCACGTAAACTATATAAAATAGAATCA